AAAAACATGAGCTTGTGTTTTCCGCACTCTAGAATGCGGAAAAGTTGCTAACTTATTTTCGGGAAAATTTTCAGTAAATGATATTGTTTCTTAGCCATAGATATGTCTCTTGAACATAATGGACCATTAGAAAAGGCACGAATCAAAGCATTTTCATACTTGGATTGCATTTTGAAAAAAGGAATCACTAGCATTGCAATGTTGCTAAGATTGTGCAACTTCTTTTGTCTTGGAGGAAAAACCCGATTATCCGTTGATAGTTTCTATTTTACTCGCTTAAAACTGTAAAGTTAAGACAAAAATTACCATCTAAATTTCATAGTTTTTCACAATTTCCACAATTTTATTGCAAAGGATGAAGTTGCACAATCTTAGCATCATTGCAATGCTAGTGGTTCCTTTTTGCAAAATACAATCCACTTGTTTCTTATACCCATAATTTCACGTAAAACACAATTTGCCCAACGAAAATTATTGAAATCACCTCCTAAGAAGATACTAATATTTTTAGTTTACATTGGCTACGGGAAATTTGAGCTCCCTGCTCAAAAGAAAAACAATAGTCTACTTGAATCAACACGAAGAAAAATAGGTAAGGATTAAGTCCCAACTTCGACATTTCATATTACCTGACTGTGGTAGTACCCCAATAAACTAGGTTACCAACCCAAATGTTGCGGTACCACCAGAATTAATTGGAAATGTCAAGATCATCCAAGAAATTGGGGCAGTATACCACAATTTTAGGGGATGACCCCCAACATTTTTTTTTCGCGAAATCGCGCACGACATTTTTGAAATATTCCTTCCGCACTTTGTGCACTTCAAAGTGTTCAAAAACGTGCAACAACTGAGCTGAAGCACCAAAATTAAAGTTGCCGCATTTTTATACCGAAGAGACTGCACGGTAACGTTTAGTATGCGATTTGGTTCACGTATATCTCTTGTTTTTTCATGAGCGAGATGTTTGAGTTTACGCGTCAAAACACACTAACTATCTTGGTTAGGAGTTAATATTGCGGTAATTTTCGTTGCGTTGATCGTGTTCTACGTGAAATTTCAATCCGTCACATGTGTTAGAATGCATAAATTTGTACTTAGTCTATCGGTCCGATGCCTCCAATCAAGTCTATGCTGCCACTTGTTTTACCTCAACAATTGTACTTCTCGGAGACTCAAACGCAAAGCAAAGAAAGTAGGCGGTGACGGCGTGGTTTTTCACGCTGTCTCGCTAAAATAACACAGTTTAAGTAGATTCCTTTGGAAGTCCAGAGGATTAATTGGGTTTTATTTTATGAAAAGAAACTTAGAGAATTACAGTTTTTATCTTATATGCGTACATTTTTCATCATTTGCCTCGGAAACTTAAAATTTTTAGGAATTTCCGGGACACACACCCAACAGGAAGCTAATTGTGTAAAGATATTCCCGTGTACTTTTAAATTTCAGTGTCTACCAATTAGTTTATTCGATAAAGTCCTTTTTTAAATCTTGGCAACATTCCGGCGCTCTAATTTTATTCTAAAAACTTCAGTCCAAGTCAGAAGGGATGAGGGAACGATACACATTTTCTCCTAAAATTTTTTTAAAATAGATTTGTACCTCCGAAGACTCTCAGGGAACCAATGAAAATACTTATCAGTTTGTACGTACAAGGCTCAAAATTGCTCTCTAAATATGTTTGAGCTGTTTACTTGCAATTTTAGGATTACCATTTTTAATGCTGCTAGTCTGAGTGTATGCAATGGCGTCGAGAGTTTTTTCAACTGTTAAGAATGCTAAAGATTCCACTGAAAATTAAAACAAGTTTGTCTGGTACAAATATATGATATGTAATCCTAAATGGAAGGAATACCTTTCATAACTAGTTTTATCATGGATTTACCATCCTTTTAATTCTTAAATGTTTGTGTCATAATTTGTGTCCGATCCTCAGCTGAAAGAGAAGGTTTGGAATTTTAAACCCTTGAATGATTTACGTCTCTAGCCAGCATTTATCCATAAATGCAATTACTCATTTGTGCTTAGTTCTGTTATCAAGCAGGCCTACTGATGTATCATATGTTCCTTTTTCAAGCTAAACGCGGAGGCATTCACTTTAAAATAATGATAGCGCAGCTATTGAAAACCGGTTTTGAAGGTATTTGCTTTCCACATAAATAATTCTATCCTCTGAGAAGAGCTCAAATTTTGCGACCGGTGGATTTCCCGTGCCCGGATATGCGTGTTGTTTCTACAAAATCGGATTTAATTTGATGGTCATAGAACAAAGGGAATAAAATCCGGCGAAATGGTTGGAGATCCGGTTACTTGCGCCACCTGTCACGTCATGAATCAGTTGTATCATTTTGTCTCCGTTAAAAAGATACTATGTCGGACTCGGAAATGCTTAAAATATCCGCACATTCATTGAGGCAAGAGATCGGAAAACTGTGACGAAGAATTCATCCTTATCAGGACCTGAAAACATTTCAGTCGGTCCTAGCTGGTTGCCAAAAGAGAGTACATGTCTTTTTTCAGCCTTAAAAACAGCTTCAAATGGGGAGATATCGAAACTCGATCAATCACGGCTCGTTACCGCTTGTATCAGATGGAGAGGAAAAAAGAACGTGACAATCCTCTGTAAATTAATTGGGTGCTCTTAATCCTTGCAAATTTGATCCGTTCAAACATCCTGGTTTAATCGAATAGTTTTGCACTTAACCTCAAAGAGGCTTGATCTTTGGGAATTAATCATTGCATCGCTGGCGAGTTTTCACGTTCAGGTGGTTGGATGCCAAGAGATAGGACATTGAACCAAGAAAGTTTTGACTTTCCAAGAAGTGGGGTGGTGCTTTTATTTCCCGCATCGTATGACCGCAATAAAAAGAACCACCGATCTGCATGAAGGTCCTACTGGTGTTATGCCGGACTGAACTTAGGTTGACAATTTTCTACTCAGCCCCAGCAATGTTAATTACTATGGTCGTTATAGATACCATGAAAATAAAATTATGGTACGGCCATGAGCCGATTTGATAACTCAGCAAAAATATCATCATGAGATCCACAAATTGAGTAGTGGGAGTAGTAAACGAATTGAGTTTTTGAAAATAGAGCATATAAGAGGAGTTGACGAACATTTTGGGACAAATTTTCATACGGAGTTGCGGCGATATGAATTTTACACTTCCAAATACCCAACTTCGAGAGGAACCTACCTTAAATTAAATAATTCTAATCTGCAACGTTCGGTGCACAAAACTACCATTTTGTAAGGCAACTAGGTACAAACCCTTCATTGGAGCATGAGTAAACCGTTTTCAACTAAAAAACTCAAAATCCGATTTTTCGACCCAATTCAACCAAAAAAAAGTCGTTTTGAAATTTTGCTGTGGGTCTGTATATTCATTTTCAAACGGTAGCCGATTCGGACGTATGAGAACCAATTTGAGTATAAGTCCTACCTGGCTGTTCTTCAAACAGCTTCTTTTTTTTAGAAGGCTACAGATGATTTACATCGTGATTAAGGGAACTTCACGGATATCCTCAATGTAGCATCATAAAAAAGGCATTGATTAACAAATCTAGAGTAAAATTCAACAAAATAAGGAACTTAAAATGGTGCCACGGCCGGAAAATAAAACAGAAAATAAAAAACTGGGACGTTACGCCGTTCTGACACCTGAATCTTCAAGCGCAAATACGAAAAGAAAAATTAAAAAGGAACACAAACTTATATCGAGCCTCACCGCTATTATTGCGAGACTCTATGAAGTCTCTGTAAAATTTAACCTTACTTTGGACACTAAACCACACAAAGAATTAGAGTCATTTACCACTGCAAAAAAGAGAAAAAGATTTGGTATGGAAGAAACGATTCTATTGTTTTCAAAGACTCAATTTAAAATAGGTATGGACCAACAGTAATTTTTTTTTTCTTTTGCATTTTTGATTATTTTTATGGAGGCAAAACATTGTCACAATCCCTTGCAAAGACGTATTTCTCAAGTTATTTAGTTAGACTATGTTACTCGAGATTCTTTGAAATTATCCTTTTTATGTTGCTATGTTAAGGATCCCTTTATACCTCTTTTAATCATATTGTAACCTTATGTAAAAAGCTGTTTCAGGAGCGACAATGAATACGGGTTTTCTTGGACAAAGCGTCGCTCTTGCCACAAAAAATCGTAACTACATTTCACTGTTGCCAAATTTTCCCTCACAAATTGCATTATTATCAGGAAAAACGTGGGCATTTCTAACTAAAACTTCCATTATTTTTTCTGATCTCATGCACAAATCCAAAAAAGTTTGCGAGAAAATCGCATGAATAAAATCTTGCGAAAAATTAAATTGTTTGAGCCAATGTTGCAATCTTAGAATAAAGACACTTTCCTTTTTTCGAGAAACGAGGAAAATTCATGTTTGTCTTGATAGTCACAAATGAACGGCTTATTTGACAAGGGGCGCAACTTTTTTTGTAGTCGGACAACTTATAATCTTTTGGACTTTAATAGGTTGGGTATTCAGGTGATTGGACATGGATATACAAAATTTTTGGACAAGTCATTTGGGAGACTGCCTAATATGGTCACATGGCAGCAGATTTTCTCACTTTCATATCTATTTTCCTACAATTTCCCTGTATCAGTAAAAAATTATGAAAAATACTGCGAATATAGCTCTCTCAGGTGCAAGATTGAAATTTTTTTGTAAAAATTGTCCATCTGCTACTTTTGCTCGAAAAAAACCTTTCAATTGGCTTTAAATAGAAAATAGGGCGAAGGCAGCTCTTGCAGCAGTGGGATTTTTTGCGTAAATCCTCCATTTTGCGCTTACACTCTTTTTCAAATAAACCGTTCAAATGCCTTTAAATTTTAAATAAAAAATACCGTAAATGTAGCTCATTAAGCACTCTCAGGCGTAACAATGAAGTTTCTTCGTGCAAAATCTCCATTTGGTGCTTGCGCTTTCATTCAAATAAAGCGTTGTCATGCCTTTAAATGTCTACAACTCACCGACAACGAGGAGGAAAGCGAGAGGGAGGAGTAGCGCAGGGAAAGCAAAAGACCGGCCTGGAGCCATGTTTCCGCCAGGTGGAGCGCCTGGAAAGTCGGGAGCGCACAAGCACGGAAAAAGCTGGACTGGGCCTGGCGTCCGAGCCCCGAGCCGGAGCCAAAGCAACGCTGAGACTCGAGTGACGTCATCACGGCCCCAAGGTCACGGCTAATGTCACTGTCGGCGCGGCGCGGCGTCGGCGTCGGCGTCCGCGGCGCGCTTACACTCATCCGTCGTCGTCGCCGACTCGCAAAAACCGCGAACCGCCAATGAAAACAGCATGTGGATACGCGGTTCTTCATCCGCGGCTGAGATCCATCCGACGCAACGGTGGCGTCGGTGACGTCTTGGAGATCCCGGGTCCGATACTGCAGTGCAAAGAAAGAACGCCGTTTGAACATTCGAGAGTTGCCAAATTTCCTTCGATAAGGTGCTTATTTTAGAGGCAAATTATTGATATTTTTCCTTGAAATTTTCAGGAACTTTGGGTGAAATTGCAAACAAAATTACCTGAAAAATTGGACAAAAAATATACATATGTTTACTAGGAAATTTGTGTTCCATCAAAGGAAATTTGGCAGCGCTTGAAGGTTCATACGGCGTTCTTCCTTAGCACGGCAGGATAAGTCATCGTCTCCGCCGTGCGAATGGTGACCACGCGGTGCCCACTCTCCGAGATGACCGATGACCGACGCTTTTTACACGATTTAATGATTGGTCGACGTATTCGTGCCAAAAGGAAGTATTCGAAAATTAAATTAAATGAAGAAGGAGCTATGTGCATAGAATTGGTGTGCTGATTTGCTCCTTAGAATTTAATTCACTTGCACATAGTTGATTCTAACGCATGGATCTCCTATATCAAAAGTAATGACATTACGCACAAAGGATGCACATATATGAACGATTATTAGCACATGATTCGTTCTGATGTGGGAGAAACCAAGGCAGCGATGAGCAGACTGTCTACGACAGCACTGCCGTGTTATGGGAGAGAGAAGTGAAAGTAAAAAGGCGAATTTTCGAGGGTGGATTCGGTCGAGTTTTTTGACCAGATCGGCAAGTTTCCAAGCTAATGGAGAAAAACGCTCCACTCAAGTCATAAACAAAACTCAGTTGCTTAATGAATTTTCGCCAACGTTTCGTCCATCCATTCCAAACCACCTCCGGAGGTGGAACGGGATTTTGGATGTGTTTGTCATTGCTGAAAACCAAAAGTTGTAAGCGCAATGTCGCCCGGAGGGCATTTCGTTTTGTTAACGGAGGTTGGCAGCCAGTTAAAAACTTCGATCAAATCCACTCACGAAAATTTTCCTAAGGTGATGCTTTGAGAAAATTTGCCTAACATGATCAAAGCAAAATATTTTATTGAGCAAACACTCAAGCTCAAACGTTCGTTGGAGGATATTCTCATCGTTAGGTTTTGATTGGGGCAAAATTGAATAGAATCCCACGTTTCTAAAAAGGATCACTTTTTTACAAGCTCTTTTCTTAACTTAAAAGAGCTTTGCCCATTTTCTCTCATGAGCTCATGGCTTTTTTTCTTATTCTCATACTTATTTCCATTTTGGCGCGTATACGTAGTATACCGCCTTTGCGATCGTTTCGACCCCCCACTCGATACAATAACCGAGTCCCTTAGTTCCTTACCAAAAAGAGACTACCGTGTTTCGCGTGTGCTTAGCAATTTTTTTCTTACTCTCCGTTAAAACATGAATTAAAAGAGGTCTCATTCATAAAAATCGGCCGAATAGAAGAGAAGTTACAGTATTCGAAATCTGAAGAAATCAACAAAACCTCGAATTCTTCAAACAAAAAATAAAATGAAGGGGAAAAAAGAAATGTATAAATTACAATTAGATAAAATTGACCTCAGAATTTGACAAGCAATTCCATTATATGTACAACAAAGAAAAAATTGGGAGTAATTACAAAAAATGCGCCTCTTGCAAGGGGCTTCCTCGTAAAAATTTTGACCTGAAGACAAAGGTCGAATAGCAACAGTACTCCATACAATACACAGTGTGTCTGAACGAGTTAAACATGTTTTATACATCCAAATCGAAATTTTTTCATATTTTTAACTACAGTGTCTCTTGAGTCGTTTAACCAAAAAAAAAAAAAAAAAAAAAAAATCCGTCGAGATTTGGGAACGTAAAGGCGCTTTAAATGTATTCTGGGGCTATAATAGCTAAATCACCCGTAGTAAATCCCGTTAGGTATATTATTAAAAATAAATTGACTCCATAGTTTAATGCCTTAGTTTCTTAAATACGATTATTTCAGCACTCAAACATTTATACCACCAGTTTTAGCCATGAGGTGATTTCCTGAGAGCCGATAATATCATGAATTTCTCATAGAGCCCTTCAAAAATGGCTTGCTTTTTGGGCAGCCGATTCGGCCATCGAACCGGAGTTTAAAGGGAAGCTGATAATAACACAAACCTCTGAGAAAAATTTTAAGAAAGACATGAATTCTGTTCAGCATATCGATGCATAATCATATTCACGTCAGGGAGTGGACATATTTTGATTTTTTCGATTGTATACGGAAAATTGATGGTTCTTCGGGATTGAAATTACTTGTAATTGTTTCTTGAAAAATAAAGGCACCCAAAATGACTATAGCATATTGACTTTTACATATGTGCATTCACGAAATTGATTCGTAAATTCAACGAGTGGGTACATCTACCTGGTATATCAAGTTTCTGCGATATTTTACGGCAAATCGGTAGATTTTTGGGATGTAGATTTCTTACTTTCAATTCATGAATGAATAAAGCATAGACATGGCTGAACTTCTTTCCATGGAAAGACGATTAAAGTAACAAAATCAAGACATACGAGGGTCATCCAAAAAGTAAGTTTCTCTACCTTGTATCTTCCGAACGAAAAGAAATAAATCAAATCGGTAAAAAAGCACATATTAGGCATATTTTAAGCTTTAAAACAAGCTCAAGTTTTTGAAAATCGGTCAAGGGGTTCGCGAGTAAACTTAATTTCACTGAGACTACCTCCTGTCGCCGCGTGCCCAACTCCGGGGTCAGGATGCGCGGAGAGTCGATTATAGAAGACTCGGGTTATCGCCTCTATACATCACATCAACAAGGAATTTTGTCATGGGAACGGAGTTCCCCATGATATTACAATCGTTCCGTTGCTTTCGCTATGGGATTCCCTATACCTCTGCGACCTTGAGCGTTTCGCCCAGTCTCCGATTTTTGGTTGATTTTCCGATGTATCAAAAACCGTTGTATTTTTTAGCCAATCATGTCTCTATGTCAAGTTGTGTTGATTGCTAAAATTCGCTTTCAGCGAGTTTTTTTCCACTTTGAGATGTCGTGTCTGACTGGTAAATCTGCGCAGAACCACGAAGTTCCGTTTTTAGGCAAATTCTTTTTTTTTGGGAGGTTCTAGGATTGGTTATTTTTCGCCATCAGTTTTCTGTTCGTTGGTGCAAAAGATCGCCTACCTCGGTGCTCTTGAGAAGCCGCCATTATCCCACCTCAAATTTGAAAAATAGAAGTAAAGAAATAATAACCATCGTACAAGGTGGAAAATTGTTCTGGAGGACTCGTTACGGACAAAGAAGTCAAAATCAGAGCTCGATTGATTGATTTAATTCATGGATAAACTAATATCGCCTCAGCTTACTGCCGCGATGACATATGCATGTTGAGATGAACCCTGGGAGACATGAAAACAGTGCGAACCATGGCTCTTACAGCAACACTGAAAAAAAAGTATGGTGACATTTACTATGAGTCTACTTGATTTTTTACACAGTGATACTATTTAGTGGAAATAACCAGAATTATAGTAGTATTCGCCAGAACTCTGGTGATTCTTACCATAGTATGGTAAATGCCACCATAGAGTCTGGTGTTTATTACCATATTCGTATCACTGTGTCAGAGATGGTAAAATCTACCGGCATATTTTTTTCAGTGAATGCGCTTGGTTCATTTCTCTCAGCAACAAAGCGTCGCAAGGTCTCTTGTGATAAGCCCCGCTCATTGCCCGAGTCTTTTGTATGCTATTTTCACTCCTCAATACGCTGATTCGGTATAGCCTAGTTGACTAAACTACCTTATATTTTTGAATAGGTGCGGGCAATGGGCGATCGGGAGTTCGATACCCGACGATGGGTGTTACTTTTTAATGGTTGTATTGAATGTTTTAGACTAATCATCAAAAAATAATTAATACTAGATGATAAATGTACGAACATTTTCTCGTGAATTAATATGTTAAACAAAAATACTGGAATATACCTCCTTCATATAATCAGCCACATGTTCCCCCAAATTAATGACGTTATTTTCTTTTTTCAATAAAGTTAATTTGCATTCAACGTTCGTAAGTTAAGCAAAAAGTACCCATTGATACAAATAGAAAGACATGAAAATAGTATGTCTAACATTTCATTTGTTTTTTTTTATTTATTTTTTGTTTTTTTGTTTTTTCAATAAAACAAATTGACTGGGACTAGAATCATTATATCTCTGAAGACAAAAGCTAAGTTTTTTGATATAGAAATACTAATATATTCATCCTTTATATAATCAGGGAGATGTTGGCCCAAATATTGATGTATATTTTCTCTGTTCGCCCAAATTAATGATGGTATTTTCTTTT